ACGGGCAGCATGCTTTTGCACAGGCAAACCGCTTTCTTTTTGCCTGTGCAAGGCTGATTCTTCATTTTCTGCACAAGATCTTTCTCCCGGTGCTTCCTCTTCTGCCTCTGGTGCCTTTTTCGAGCTGCTAGGGTCTTCCAAGGCCTTTCCACTCCTCAATGTCACTGCTACAACCATGGCATCCTTCGGATTCCTCTCAGTATTTGCTGGTAATGTCCCAGGAATCCTGCCTTGCATATCTGCCAAAGTTTGAGCCATCTGGCCTATTTGCCTCTCCATAGCTAGCATAGATGATTGCATATTATTGTTGATGGCTAGCTGTTGAGTGACAAATTGATCAAGACCCTTCAGATTATTGTCGGTTTTCTGCATGTGAGCCAGAAGCAATTCTTCAAGTTGTGGTTTCTTCTCTGGTTGAGGTTGTTGTTTCTGCAGGCCTGGAGGAGCAATGTTGCGAGCACCAGCTGGGTTGTTGTTTGCCCAGGAAAAGTTAGGATGCTTCCTCCATTGCGGGTTGTAGGTATTTGAATACATACCACCCTGGTCTTGATTTTGTTGATTGTTGATATAGTGCACATCTTCCAACTGATCAGCTACCAGTGGACATAGATCCCTATGATGAGCACCTTCACATAATTCGCACAAAGCAACCTCCTGCTGTCTACCAAGAGCCATCTTAGCCAACCTTCGTTCGAGTGCATCGAGCTTGGAATCCAGCTTAGCATCAATCTTTGCTTCTAAACTTGCAACTCTGTCTATCTCATGCAAGCCTCCTCTCCTTCGAATGCCGGTCTCACTACCCCATTCAGTATCTTCAGAGCATATCTTCTCCACCAGTTCATATGCTTCTGGTGCTTCCATTCTTGTGAAACCATTCCGGGAAGCATTGTTCAGAGCATCTCGGTATTGCCTTCTGATTCCGTTGAAGAAAATAGAGATCACGTTCCAATCTTCCAGACCGTGGCTCGGGCATCTCATTAGAAGCTCCTTATAGCGCTCCCATGCCTCGGTCAGACTTTCATCCCCAGCTTGTTTAAAAGTGACAATTTCCTCTTGCCTCTTCATTGCCTTGGCAGGAGGAAAGTACTTATCCAAAAAGGTCTTCTCAAGCTGACCCCATGTTGTGATGGAACGGGGTGTCAAGTTCTGGAACCAGTGGGGTGCATTCCCTAGCAGAGAAAACGAGAACATCCGAAGACGGATGGCATCATCAGACACAGCCGGGCTCTTGATTGTGTCACTAATGTTTGCAAACCGGCGGAGATGTTCATGAGGATCCTCGGTGCTGGCCCCTGAGAAGGTGTACCCATTAGTGATCATATTGATGAAGGCTGGGGTAATCTCCATGTTTGCATCCCCAGCCGGAATGACAACACATGAAGCTCGGGCTCCAGTCCTTCGATTCAAGCGAGCCCTGATCGAACGATCCTGTTCAGCCATGATGACAGGCTCGATGACGCGCGGCGGTGGTGTAGGTGGTGTAGGGATGACAGGTGGTGTCACCTGCCTTCTCGGTTGACGATTCTGAGTTAGGGAAGGCCTAGGAGTTGTGGATGTGGTAGGCTGCTTCCCTAACTTGACCTGCTTCCTGTTCTGTCGGCAGGTCCTCTCGATCTCGGGATCTAGTGGTAGTAAATTGCCAGTCGTCCTCCTTGGCATGCACGAGGAGGATTAACGTGAAAAATTCACCTGCACACTAACACCCAGATCAAAACAGTTCACTCACAAAAATCAACAAAAATAAGGTATGGCAGTCCCCGGCAACGGCGCCAAAAACTTGATAGGGCAAAAGCGCAATGCCTTAATCCTATCTCGTAGTAAACCGGAAAGTGCGGGTATCGTCTCTCAGGGACTGGTACAACCTTAAGATTTACCGATTTAATAGAGCAAACTATAGGTGAAAATGATTTAATGAGATTATTAACTACTAGCAAAATTAACTAAACAAGCAAATTAAAGTATCGGGTTTAAATCAATGGGAGAAAGCTCTGGGAGAAACACCGGGATTCACTACCTATCCTATCCAGATTAATTCACATACTCCAATCAATTTAATCCAACTCTCTACAGCCAGGATATCACGAATGTGCTAGCTATCCCTGTCGGGAATTACTACGTACTAAACAATTAAATCAAATCCTACTGTCGTAGCTCAATGACCTAATTATTTAGCCTGAAGATCGATATCCTATTTAAGACCGCATAGCACCTTATTTAATCCACTGTCGCTTCGATAAGTTACTATGTCACATGAAATAGGTTCAGTTATTAGGGTTTCACTGTCGCTAATAACCTAATTAACTACAAATCGATGTATTGGTGGCCAGTCAACACAAAGCATTAAGCAATTTCATGCAATAGAGATTGGAAGAAAAGAATCATAAATCAATCCATCAAATCAAGAAATAGCTACATCCTATGGTGTTTCCCCCTGAAATTGGGGTTTAGTTCATGACGAAATCAAAACAAACAATCATATTCATCATGAAGCTAATCAAAGACAAGAAACGAAAATACTCAAACGCGAGCTCCAGCGCTTGTCCTCGCTGGCGATCGCCCAGCGCTGCTGCTTGCGTTTAATTCCCTCGTTCCGCCTCCTGCCTCCTGCTTTTCTCCAATTATTCCCTCGCTGCGCCCTCTACAGCCAAAAGTGCCGCCTCCCTTTTTTTTTGCCTCCTGAGAATTTCGTTTTTCTTTCAAACAAGCTTCCGTCCAATTATGATTCCGCCTCCCAATAATAATAATTCCCTTCCGGCCGCTTCCGCTCCAAAGTCCAAAGAGATTTTCCAAACCCAATTCACGTCCAAAAGTAAGGCTAAAAGTAATTGCCACCCACAGTTCGTTTCTTTTGTTCCGCCTCCAAAAAGAATTTCACTCAAGTCCAAAAGTCCAGCCCAAGCCCAAGCCCAATCCCGGTTCAACTCCTCAGTAAGTTCCGGTCCAATGTACATCCAGTCCACTTGAATTATTCTATCCACCAATGCAAATTTCTCGTTTCATTTACCTGAAATATATAAAATATTTGGCACTTGATGGTAATGGTTTTATAACCATTCCAGGCTTAGTTGGACCTCAAACAAGTATTATAGGTCTCAAACATATGATGAAAAAATCACATTAAGCATGCAAAATCAATATGTTTTCGACAATTATCAAGCAATTACAGATCAATTATTACTAATGTCACCTAGTTGAGACATCTTTGATTGAGTAAATGAGGACCTGACAATCTGATTGGACATTAATATACTCGGATCCATACGATTGAGTCGACTTAATACCTTCCAAAAGGGCTTTCGCTTCCAATTCAATCCTTGTATAACAGAGGATTGTCTTAGCTCCTTATCATATATTTTTTCATGGATGTTAATGATCAAAACACTATATTCCACAACCATGGAGTCTCTTAAGAATGAGCTCATCGTTTATTACAGTGAATCTCCATTAATGAATAACTTAGTGATAAATTAGTATGAGTATGGGCTCTCCTAAGTTGTGAACTAGAGGGAGGAAGTTGAGAAGTATATCTCAAAAAAGACGTCCACTCAAGAAATTCTCGGGAGGGGTCCTGGTAGAAACATAGTTTCTAACTCCATTTTATCATTTGGACTTATTCGTCATTTTATTTCAGTTTGGGAGTTTTTATTGTTATTCGAGATATTTTGAGATATTTGGATGTTTTTGGGGTATGGAGCATCATTTTAGATAGTTATATGGAATTGATCGGACTATATAATCCGTAATCAGTGGAATTTTAAAATTAAGCAATTAAGATCAATTATTCCTAAACCTAATTATCTCTCTCTCTCTCAACCCCAAACTCCCCCTCTCCTGTGTCGCCGATCCCTTCCCTCGGGGGCCTTTTTTTCTTCCCTGTCCTTAAATTATCTTCTTCGTTCCCTGCTCAAATAGCTAATTCTATGTCAATTTCCAGTTTCCCCATCTCTGAACCATATACTGACGTGCCTAAATCCATACTCCTTTCAGTTCCCCACATGTGTCAAAGCCTGTGGGGATCAAATCCTGAATATGCTTTCAATCCTTGCCTTCTAAATTTTTGAATAAAGGAAAATAACATGAAGTAGACTCTAGGGTTAAAACAATTCTTTAAAGAGCATATATAAGAAAGGAAGAAGGGGAAAGGGAGTAGAAAGAGACTCATTTATGTTTGACAAGTATCACAAGTCAAGTTTTAAGAGTATCGTCGATCATGCAGACCATTCTTCAAGCATCTCCAAATGAAGAACTTGAGTTTAACTGGAAGGTCCAAACCCAAAACCACTTCGGCATACCCTCATTACCTTGGGACTAAAGATTTATGTTGGCGTCGTGATTCTCGTGAATAGCATCAAAAGCATCTAATTGCAAGTACCCCTTCATTAGAGAATTTTACATCACAAAAATCCTTTCAACCAAGTACCCCTTCGTTAGAGAATTTTCCATCACAAAATACTTTCAATTTTCAATTGAATCCCTTGAAATAGTTTCCAACTCGTTTGAGGAGTGTTTTCTACAATATTTTGACTTTTTTTAAATGTGCAATTGATTGAGTTAAAAATCATTCTAGTTATGAGTCGCTCGAGTTTTCTCTAGCAAAAAAAAATCATTAATTTTTGTATTGTTCGAACTGATTTGATGTAAATAGTCAATCTCATTCTTTTGACTATGATGTACCGTTCCCATTTAACACCTCCCTTCTTCACATACCTGCCATTAATTAGGAAAATTTGACCGAAGCCTTCCGTTGGTGTTCCCTTCCCCTTTTTTATTTGGTATATATATGATCACATACAAAGTTTAAGAAAACAAACATCATAGAAAATATATGAAATATTTGTAAACACGAACACACAATTGCACAACACAGAGTTTACGTGGTTCTTCTCATTCGGTGTGAATGAGCTTACTCCACGGAGAAGTTATGCTATCTCAGCTTTCATTCATTGGTTTGCAGCCGATACACTTACAAGACATATATATGTAACCCTAATCAACACTAATTCTCTTAGGGTTACACTACACCCGTCTGCCTAGAGGAGAAAAGACAATAAACCCCTGTAGCCTTACACGACTGTGTACCATGCTTGAATAATAACCATTACACTCCCCTCACAAGCTGAGGCATGCAGGTTACAAATGCCCAGCTTGGATAGTAGCTAATGGAAACGATCACCACCAAGACCCTTCGTGAAAAGATCAGTCAGCTATAGGTCAGTATGAATCTTCTGAGGAAGGATCTCGCTAGAGGTAACACGATCACGAACAAAATAGCAATCAAGTTCAACATGCTTCGTGCGCTCGTGGAAGACTGGATTGGCAGCTATGTGAAGTGCTGCCTGATTATCAAAATAGAGAACTGTGGGACTGGAACAGGGAACACCCATTTCACAAAGGAGAGCACGAAGTCAGATGAATTCACTGACTGTGCTAGCCATGGCCCGATACTCAGCTTCGGCAGACGACTACCTGCTGCTTCTTGGTACGCCAGGAGACCGGGGCGCCACCCAAAGTGACAAAGTAGCCGGAAGTAGAACGACTAGTTGACTGGCACCCTGCCCAGTTTGCGTTGCAATAAGCAGTCAAATGCAGTGAACCCTGCGACGGTAACAGAATGCCCTGACCTGGTGCATTCTTGAGATAGCGAAGAACAAGTTCAACACCCGCTACGTGCTCTGCAGTGGGGGCATGGACATAGCGACTAAGAATGTTGACAGCATAAACAATATCGGGACGCGTAACAGTAAGGTACTGAAGTCGACCGACCAATCGTCGATAGGCAGCAACATCGTCAGGAGAGACTAGAACTGAGTTGACATTGTGTCGCGTGAGCTAGTGGTGCTACTCGATAGGAAATTTGTTGGGACGACCATCGGAGAGACCACTCTCACGCAGGAGATCCAAGGTGTATTTTCATTGACAGAGAGCAATACCAGCCTTGGATCGAGCTACTTCGATCCCGATAAAGTACTTTAGAGGATCCAGATTCTTAATTCCAAACTGACTGTGTAGTGTATCCTTGACCTGCTGAATGAAGCCCAGATCATCACTCGCCAGGATAACATCATCCACGTAAATGAGGGCAACAACATATGTTCTCTGACTGCGACGAACAAAGAGAGAATAATCGGCATGAGACCGACGAAACCCAAGACCAACAAGAGTGGACGCAAATTTATCATACAAGTTACGAGAGGCCTGTTTAAGCCTGTAAATGCACTTATGCAGTCGACAAACACGCGAGTCACCAGGAGCTGCAAAACCTGGCGGAATCTGCATGTACACTTCCTCATGGAGATCGCCATGCAGAAAAGCATTATCAATGTCCAATTGGTGTACTACCCAACCACGAACAGCAGCAACTGCCAATAAACAACGAACACGGACCAGTTTTGCCACAGGAGCGAAAGTATCATGATAATCCATCCCTTATGTCTGAGTAAACCCTTTGGCAACCAAACGAGCTTTATATCATTCAATGGAACCATCTGCATTGAACTTGATCTTGTACACCCACTTAGAAGCCACAACACGCTTACCTGGAGGTAGACTAACAAGAGTCCACGTGCCATTGCCAACGAGTGCATCAATTTCTCGTTGCATGGAAACACGCCACTCCTCATAGCGCATGGCATCCTGCCAATGATGCGGCTCGGACTTACTAGAGACCGCTGCCAAAAAACTCTTGTGTCGAGGGGAGAAACCTTGATACCCTACGTAGTTGGACATCGGGTACTGGATATTGGATGGAGGCAACGCTGTTTCATAACCATCCAATCTTTGAGATACTTGTCGCACACGGTTGCTGCGACGAAGACCAGTCGCAGGAGGCTCAACTGGAGCCGATGAAGACGGCTGACTTACCGGGACGGCAGTGGACAAGTCGGTTGACAAATCCCGTGGCTTGATCGTTGTGGAGGAAGGAGAAGAGACCTCGGCCTGGACCCGCACAGTGGGTGACGTAGGCTCCTCTACTTCGTCCACTGCTGAGAAGAAGATGAGGCTGTTTCCGAAAACGGGAACACATTTTCCACAAAAACTAAATCCCTTGATGTATAGAACGTACGAGAGGATAGATCAAACAACCGATAGCCTTTCTAAAAAGCCGAATATCCCACAAATACCGAGCGCTTGCCTCGTTCATCAAACTTAGGAACTCCTTTGTGATTGTCCTTCCCATACGCCAAAACGCCCCAGAACATGCAGATGTGCATAATAGGGAGGCTTCCCAAACAGAACTTCATACGAAGAACGATCTTGTAGAACCTTGCAAGGCAGACGGTTGATGAGGTAGGTGGCTGTCAATAAACACTCTCCCCAAAACTTCAATGGCAAATTCGCACGAAACTGCAGTGCACGGGCTGTCTCGAGCAAATGACGGTGCTTACGTTCGACAACTCCATTTGGCTGTGGAGTGTCGGTGCATGACGTTTGCAGAATAATGTCCCGCTCTTCGTAGAAAGCACGAAGACTACTAGTCTGGAATTTAAATCCATTATCCGCCTATATCCTTGCTACCCGGCAATTGAACTGAGTTGCTGCCACGTTAATGAACATTTTCAAATAACCATCAACTTCTGATTTGTAAGCCATCAAATACACCCATGTGGCTCTACCAAAATAGTCGAAAATTGTAAGAAAATAACGAGCTCCATTGTGAGTGGGAACCTTGAAACTCCCCCAAATATCCACATGAATAAGTTCTAAACAACGACTAGTCATTATCGAATGCTTAGGGAATGGAAACGTGTCTGTTTAGCACGAATACAAGAATCACAACTCTCATTCTTGCACTTATTTTGAACCGAAAGAAATAACAGAGGTGTCTTCTTGAGTGACGGGTGACCAAGACGGGAATGCCATAGCTCCCCCAGTCCTTCTTCACTGCGAGCAGCCAAGACATGTGGTTCCTCAACACCAGGTAGCCGAAGAAAATACAACTGATGCTCTAAAACACAACACCTAACAATGGCCAAGTGTAACCAATGAAAGGGACTGCAGTATAGTGGCACAAGTAATAAATATCGAATCCACGGGTCTCTAGAGTTACTATTACTCAGCTTCAGTTTATTATCTAGCAAACTAGATTAAGGATTGATTAACTAAACTACTCTACTAACTAAACTAAGTAAAACTACTAATTACAGTTTGGGAACTCACTTAGGTATGATTCCCCCTAGCTCCTCAATTAGGTCCAAGTTGTAATTCCTTTTGGTTGATTTACTGTTGATTAAACTGCGGAAGATCCGACAGTAGCTTGGAATCTCTTAAGCTGACCAAGCCCTCTCAGTCTAACTATCCGGCAGACAACTAGTCTTCACCGGGATAGAAAGCTGAAGCAATAAGCACAGAACTCCACTACTGGAATTGGATTCCAGTACAAAGCAGTAAACTGGCTAACTCTCGTATAGCCAATCTCCTACTACCGAATGATGAGACTCTAGCAACCTAATCAGATTCTATCTATCTCAGATTGCAGCAGGAATCAGGAAAAGTTGATCAGACTTCAATTGACTCAATAAACATGCATCATTCGATTATAATCAAACAATATAGCATCCAAAACTTCATACAAGAAAGATCCTAACTCATGGAACTAAGGTTCCTCAAAACCTAAGTGAAGGGAAGTTACTCCATAGAGAAGAGAGAGACTGCAGAAATCTGATCTAGATCTTCAATCTCCATCTCCAAGCTTGATTCCCTAGCTCCAATGGCGAAGAAATCCTCCAAAATAGCTCCAAGAATGTTCCCAAGTCGCTCTCTCTCTCTAGGGTTCGTCCCTTGGATGTTTGGGATCCAAAACCCAGCTCTCCCCCTTTCCTTTTGCTGAAAATCGGGTTTTAAACAGCAATTCCCGACTCACACGGCCAGGCCACACGGCCGTGTGGCTTTCCACGCTGCCCGTGTGAAGGCTCGGTGATTTCCACACGGCCACATGGCCAGGTCACACGGCCGTGTGGGTTGTGCCCGTGTGGCTTGCTCAACCTCTGTTTAATGCTTCGTTTCTCCCTCGTCCGGACTCCGAATCAGTCGCCGTTTGATCCCAGACGCTCGTAGTCTCGTCCTCTTTCTATTAATGACAAGCTTGCATGATTCTTTGTCCATAAAGTGAGTTAGAAATCCATTCTTCTTCAGGTCATACCCGAGTTTCTTCTCCCGAATCGTCAATTGATCTCTGATTGACTTGAAACTTGCGCCTATGCTTCACTTTATGTGCTAGGACCTGAAATGTGACAAAGGAACACAACCTAGCGTAAAATAGGCCAAAGACACGATAATTCAAGCTCAAACAATCAAGAAACAAAGGGGAAAAAATGTGCAAATACCGAGTCATCAAATCCCCCCACACTTAACTGTTTGCTTGTCCCCAAGCAAACCTAACTCAAACCAATGCAGCTCTCCAGAGCTCTATAGCAACATACAACCCCGATCTTTGGTAGAGGATTTCCTAGATCATATAGCAGCTTACGAGGTCAACTGGTCTTCTAAGACGTTCCCTATCTCTCTCAATGCGAGTACTAGACTCAAGCCAGGATCATGAGAAAAAGTAGAAGTAAGACAGTCAGTTCATGGATAAAGGGACTCACACCATTCACAACCAAGGATTCGTTGTACCGGGGTGCTCTTTCACTTCATTTCACCGTTGGAACCCCTTTTTCTCACTTTCATTTACATTTTTTTCTTTCATTTGGTGGGGTTCCAACTGTAGTCTTTTGCACGGTCGACCCTTATTAGTCGAGCAAGAGCAATTTCTGTACATCTGGAGCTCGCCAGAGTACTTCTTTTAACTCCTTTTCCTCAACTCGTGTGGAGGGTCAATGAAATTAAGGGGGGTCGGAAGCTCTATCCGTGCCCTTAAAAACACATCCTCAAGTAGGCAAGCCGTTCAACGGGTGGAAGTTTTACTTGTACTAGAGACAACTTAGCTTCACCTTGTAGGAGTACCCCACTAAGGATCACTAAAATCTCTTCCAAAACCCGATTTTGTGCAATGAACGGTGCCGCACACGTTGGGCTTACCCCATGTTTAAGATTTAATGATTTTGACATGGAGGACCAACTGCTTCCCATTTTCCATATGAGCACCCTATTCGATACACGAGTCCATAACATAATCCAAACAGAGTCACCATTACCACATGAATTCAACGGTCTTAGCTCCACTAATTCACAAAATCAACTGGCACAACAGAGAGCTAGATAGGAAAAATCTTATACTTCAACATCCTCCATAGTGCTACACTACCTCCCTAGGTTGCACATTACTATAGAGACTGTCAATTCAAAGCATACTGAGCAGGAAATTTGCAAGGAAACACATACTTGGAGCCCTCAAATTTAAAAATTTGGACAGTGGACTAGGCTCCAAGCACACAAACAGCCAAACGTTCACCCGCATACATAATCGAACACCCCCCCACACTCAAGCACGACATTGTCCTCAATGGAGGAAAGATAAGGAGGGTAGAACGAAGTTACCAGATCAAGGGTGAATGATGATGTACGGGTCAGGCAGTGCATTCCAGGAAGAGAGAGTAATCAGAACACAAACACCACACAAAATCTCACAAAGGTTGAGTTATTGACTCTAAAATCAAATAACAAAACTGACTCAACCGAGGAGAAATAGAGAAAGAAATGCAAACCGACTGGTTGGGTTGCCTCCCAAAAAGCGCTTCTTTCACGTCGTGAGCCGGACGATGGCTCCTAAGTTTCGGTCCATGCTAGAACCTCCTTGAAGTTGAGGTTCTCGTCGATGAGGTGGAGTCTCAAGTCACGAGCATGTGGTGTGGCAGGTGATGAAGGCTCATGTACTTGATGCAGATGAAGTCTCCACCCTCGAGACCTCTTCTTCTCTTCTCTTGTCTCCTTGCCCCAAACCAGATATGACAGCATCGACCGACCACCATCGCGTCCACCAAGAGGGACCGATGTCGATGTGGCCTTGGTCTGGCAAAGAGACACTGCAAATGGGTCCTTGCCAAGCAGTTCCTCAAAGTTTGGTGGGGATATTACTTGCAACTCATGGCCGGTGCATGCCTCTTCCACCTCAACTTCATCCTCAGCCTGGACGCCAATTGCTTCCTCAACCCCCCTTCCTTCTTCAAAATGTGGTCTCTCCCCTGGGAAAAGATCAAGAACCACCTCTTCTTTTCTTTCTTCCTCATCATCCACAACTTCCTTCCTCATCCTTGCTCGCTCTTCTTCTTCTAGAACAGATTGGAGAGCAAGTCGCCAAGCAATTTCTTCAATGGGATCATCTTGCATCTCCTTGCACGGGCCCAGCATGTTAGAGCATAAATGAGGAAAGGTGTGGTCTGCAACCAAAGGACTTTCCTGATCATGGTTATCATGTGAGTTCTCTGTGATAACTTCTGTATGCTCCTCAACGCTCCCATAGCCTTTGTCATCCTCCACCTCTTCTAGCGTGGTAGCAGAAAGGTGATCTTGAGCAAGATGTGAGCAAACTTGCTTCACCCACTCTGTTTGCTTCGCTGAGCGCTGAACAGTCTCCTCCATATCATGGAGAAATGAGGGATCGGAAGTGGCAAGGGCTTTGATTTGAAGATCCATCTTGGAGCATGATTTCTCAGTGTCTCGAGCAAACTGCTCCACGAGAAGCCTTAATTGTTCGTTCGGATCCTCCATTGAAGTGTAGCATGGCTCTTCAGAGTGGCCCGTGAAGGCCGCCATGGGTAACTCCAGCTCCGATGGCCCTTCTGGTTGTGGGAGAAAGTCTTCTTGGCAATGAGGTTGTTCTTGATATGCCCAGGGGTCTGATTGTTCTCCATAGTAAGGGGGTTGGTACTGGAACCCGAATCCATAGTCTTCTCCTCCTTGATTGCTGTAGGGAGTCGCGGGGTAATACCACCCGGATGGTGGTGGATACCCCCAATGATTGGAAAAGCCATTAGGATCCATGATTCAGATCTGCACCAACAAAAACAAAAACACCCAAGTGAAAAGCAAAGGTGGAAAAGAAAGAAAAGAAAAACGCTAAAGTAACAAACTTCTGCCTTTCCTAATACTCTAGAAAGTCCCCGGCAACGGTGCCAAAAACTTGATGCTCTAAAACACAACACCTAACAATGGCCAAGTGTAACCAATGAAAGGGACTGCAGTATAGTGGCACAAGTAATAAATATCGAATCCACGGGTCTCTAGAGTTACTATTACTCAGCTTCAGTTCATTATCTAGCAAACTAGATTAAGGATTGATTAACTAAACTACTCTACTAACTAAACTAAGTAAAACTACTAATTACAGTTTGGGAACTCACTTAGGTATGATTCCCCCTAGCTCCTCAATTAGGTCCAAGTTGTAATTCCTTTTGGTTGATTTACTGTTGATTAAACTGCGGAAGATCCGACAGTAGCTTGGAATCTCTTAAGCTGACCAAGCCCTCTCAGTCTAACTATCCGGCAGACGACTAGTCTTCACCGGGATAGAAAGCTGAAGCAATAAGCACAGAACTCCACTACTGGAATTGGATTCCAGTACAAAGCAGTAAACTGGCTAACTCTCGTATAGCCAATCTCCTACTACCGAATGATGAGACTCTAGCAACCTAATCAGATTCTATCTATCTCAGATTGCAGCAGGAATCAGGAAAAGTTGATCAGACTTCAATTGACTCAATAAACATGCATCATTCGATTATAATCAAACAATATAGCATCCAAAACTTCATACAAGAAAGATCCTAACTCATGGAACTAAGGTTCCTCAAAACCTAAGTGAAGGGAAGTTACTCCATAGAGAAGAGAGAGACTGCAGAAATCTGATCTAGATCTTCAATCTCCATCTCCAAGCTTGATTCCCGAGCTCCAATGGCGAAGAAATCCTCCAAAATAGCTCCAAGAATGTTCCCAAGTCGCTCTCTCTCTCTAGGGTTCGTCCCTTGGGTGTTTGGGATCCAAAACCCAGCTCTCCCCCTTTCCTTTTGCTGAAAATCGGGTTTTAAACAGCAATTCCCGACTCACACGGCCAGGCCACACGGCCGTGTGGCTTTCCACGCTGCCCGTGTGAAGGCTCGGTGATTTCCACACGGCCACATGGCCAGGTCACACGGCCGTGTGGGTTGTGCCCGTGTGGCTTGCTCAACCTCTGTTTAATGCTTCGTTTCTCCCTCGTCCGGACTCCGAATCAGTCGCCGTTTGATCCCAGACGCTCGTAGTCTCGTCCTCTTTCTATTAATGACAAGCTTGCATGATTCTTTGTCCATAAAGTGAGTTAGAAATCCATTCTTCTTCAGGTCATACCCGAGTTTCTTCTCCCGAATCGTCAATTGATCTCTGATTGACTTGAAACTTGCGCCTATGCTTCACTTTATGTGCTAGGACCTGAAATGTGACAAAGGAACACAACCTAGCGTAAAATAGGCCAAAGACACGATAATTCAAGCTCAAACAATCAAGAAACAAAGGGGAAAAAATGTGCAAATACCGAGTCATCAAATCCCCCCACACTTAACTGTTTGCTTGTCCCCAAGCAAACCTAACTCAAACCAATGCAGCTCTCCAGAGCTCTATAGCAACATACAACCCCGATCTTTGGTAGAGGATTTCCTAGATCATATAGCAGCTTACGAGGTCAACTGGTCTTCTAAGACGTTCCCTATCTCTCTCAATGCGAGTACTAGACTCAAGCCAGGATCATGAGAAAAAGTAGAAGTAAGACAGTCAGTTCATGGATAAAGGGACTCACACCATTCACAACCAAGGATTCGTTGTACCGGGGTGCTCTTTCACTTCATTTCACCGTTGGAACCCCTTTTTCTCACTTTCATTTACATTTTTTTCTTTCATTTGGTGGGGTTCCAACTGTAGTCTTTTGCACGGTCGACCCTTATTAGTCGAGCAAGAGCAATTTCTGTACATCTGGAGCTCGCCAGAGTACTTCTTTTAACTCCTTTTCCTCAACTCGTGTGGAGGGTCAATGAAATTAAGGGGGGTCGGAAGCTCTATCCGTGCCCTTAAAAACACATCCTCAAGTAGGCAAGCCGTTCAACGGGTGGAAGTTTTACTTGTACTAGAGACAACTTAGCTTCACCTTGTAGGAGTACCCCACTAAGGATCACTAAAATCTCTTCCAAAACCCGATTTTGTGCAATGAACGGTGCCGCACACGTTGGGCTTACCCCATGTTTAAGATTTAATGATTTTGACATGGAGGACCAACTGCTTCCCATTTTCCATATGAGCACCCTATTCGATACACGAGTCCATAACATAATCCAAACAGAGTCACCATTACCACATGAATTCAACGGTCTTAGCTCCACTAATTCACAAAATCAACTGGCACAACAGAGAGCTAGATAGGAAAAATCTTATACTTCAACATCCTCCATAGTGCTACACTACCTCCCTAGGTTGCACATTACTATAGAGACTGTCAATTCAAAGCATACTGAGCAGGCAATTTGCAAGGAAACACATACTTGGAGCCCTCAAATTTAAAAATTTGGACAGTGGACTAGGCTCCAAGCACACAAACAGCCAAACGTTCACCCGCATACATAATCGAACACCCCCCCACACTCAAGCACGACATTGTCCTCAATGGAGGAAAGATAAGGAGGGTAGAACGAAGTTACCAGATCAAGGGTGAATGATGATGTACGGGTCAGGCAGTGCATTCCAGGAAGAGAGAGTAATCAGAACACAAACACCACACAAAATCTCACAAAGGTTGAGTTATTGACTCTAAAATCAAATAACAAAACTGACTCAACCGAGGAGAAATAGAGAAAGAAATGCAAACCGACTGGTTGGGTTGCCTCCCAAAAAGCGCTTCTTTCACGTCGTGAGCCGGACGATGGCTCCTAAGTTTCGGTCCATGCTAGAACCTCCTTGAAGTTGAGGTTCTCGTCGATGAGGTGGAGTCTCAAGTCACGAGCATGTGGTGTGGCAGGTGATGAAGGCTCATGTACTTGATGCAGATGAAGTCTCCACCCTCGAGACCTCTTCTTCTCTTCTCTTGTCTCCTTGCCCCAAACCAGATATGACAGCATCGACCGACCACCATCGCGTCCACCAAGAGGGACCGATGTCGATGTGGCCTTGGTCTGGCAAAGAGACACTGCAAATGGGTCCTTGCCAAGCAGTTCCTCAAAGTTTGGTGGGGATATTACTTGCAACTCATGGCCGGTGCATGCCTCTTCCACCTCAACTTCATCCTCAGCCTGGACGCCAATTGCTTCCTCAACCCCCCTTCCTTCTTCAAAATGTGGTCTCTCCCCTGGGAAAAGATCAAGAACCACCTCTTCTTTTCTTTCTTCCTCATCATCCACAACTTCCTTCCTCATCCTTGCTCGCTCTTCTTCTTCTAGAACAGATTGGAGAGCAAGTCGCCAAGCAATTTCTTCAATGGGATCATCTTGCATCTCCTTGCACGGGCCCAGCATGTTAGAGCATAAATGAGGAAAGGTGTGGTCTGCAACCAAAGGACTTTCCTGATCATGGTTATCATGTGAGTTCTCTGTGATAACTTCTGTATGCTCCTCAACGCTCCCATAGCCTTTGTCATCCTCCACCTCTTCTAGCGTGGTAGCAGAAAGGTGATCTTGAGCAAGATGTGAGCAAACTTGCTTCACCCACTCTGTTTGCTTCGCTGAGCGCTGAACAGTCTCCTCCATATCATGGAGAAATGAGGGATCGGAAGTGGCAAGGGCTTTGATTTGAAGATCCATCTTGGAGCATGATTTCTCAGTGTCTCGAGCAAACTGCTCCACGAGAAGCCTTAATTGTTCGTTCGGATCCTCCATTGAAGTGTAGCATGGCTCTTCAGAGTGGCCCGTGAAGGCCGCCATGGGTAACTCCAGCTCCGATGGCCCTTCTGGTTGTGGGAGAAAGTCTTCTTGGCAATGAGGTTGTTCTTGATATGCCCAGGGGTCTGATTGTTCTCCATAGTAAGGGGGTTGGTACTGGAACCCGAATCCATAGTCTTCTCCTCCTTGATTGCTGTAGGGAGTCGCGGGGTAATACCACCCGGATGGTGGTGGATACCCCCAATGATTGGAAAAGCCATTAGGATCCATGATTCAGATCTGCACCAACAAAAACAAAAACACCCAAGTGAAAAGCAAAGGTGGAAAAGAAAGAAAAGAAAAACGCTAAAGTAACAAACTTCTGCCTTTCCTAATACTCTAGAAAGTCCCCGGCAACGGTGCCAAAAACTTGATGCTCTAAAACACAACACCTAACAATGGCCAAGTGTAACCAATGAAAGGGACTGCAGTATAGTGGCACAAGTAATAAATATCGAATCCACGGGTCTCTAGAGTTACTATTACTCAGCTTCAGTTCATTATCTAGCAAACTAGATTAAGGATTGATTAACTAAACTACTCTACTAACTAAACTAAGTAAAACTACTAATTACAGTTTGGGAACTCACTTAGGTATGATTCCCCCTAGCTCCTCAATTAGGTCCAAGTTGTAATTCCTTTTGGTTGATTTACTGTTGATTAAACTGCGGAAGATCCGACAGTAGCTTGGAATCTCTTAAGCTGACCAAGCCCTCTCAGTCTAACTATCCGGCAGACGACTAGTCTTCACCGGGATAGAAAGCTGAAGCAATAAGCACAGAACTCCACTACTGGAATTGGATTCCAGTACAAAGCAGTAAACTGGCTAACTCTCGTATAGCCAATCTCCTACTACCGAATGATGAGACTCTAGCAACCTAATCAGATTCTATCTATCTCAGATTGCAGCAGGAATCAGGAAAAGTTGATCAGACTTCAATTGACTCAATAAACATGCATCATTCGATTATAATCAAACAATATAGCATCCAAAACTTCATACAAGAAAGATCCTAACTCATGGAACTAAGGTTCCTCAAAACCTAAGTGAAGGGAAGTTACTCCATAGAGAAGAGAGAGACTGCAGAAATCTGATCTAGATCTTCAATCTCCATCTCCAAGCTTGATTCCCGAGCTCCAATGGCGAAGAAATCCTCCAAAATAGCTCCAAGAATGTTCCCAAGTCGCTCTCTCTCTCTAGGGTTCGTCCCTTGGGTGTTTGGGATCCAAAACCCAGCTCTCCCCCTTTCCTTTTGCTGAAAATCGGGTTTTAAACAGCAATTCCCGACTCACACGGCCAGGCCACACGGCCGTGTGGCTTTCCACGCTGCCCGTGTGAAGGCTCGGTGATTTCCACACGGCCACATGGCCAGGTCACACGGCCGTGTGGGTTGTGCCCGTGTGGCTTGCTCAACCTCTGTTTAATGCTTCGTTTCTCCCTCGTCCGGACTCCGAATCAGTCGCCGTTTGATCCCAGACGCTCGTAGTCTCGTCCTCTTTCTATTAATGACAAGCTTGCATGATTCTTTGTCCATAAAGTGAGTTAGAAATCCATTCTTCTTCAGGTCATACCCGAGTTTCTTCTCCCGAATCGTCAATTGATCTCTGATTGACTTGAAACTTGCGCCTATGCTTCACTTTATGTGCTAGGACCTGAAATGTGACAAAGGAACACAACCTAGCGTAAAATAGGCCAAAGACACGATAATTCAAGCTCAAACAATCAAGAAACAAAGGGGAAAAAATGTGCAAATACCGAGTCATCAAATCCCCCCACACTTAACTGTTTGCTTGTCCCCAAGCAAACCTAACTCAAACCAATGCAGCTCTCCAGAGCTCTATAGCAACATACAACCCCGATCTTTGGTAGAGGATTTCCTAGATCATATAGCAGCTTACGAGGTCAACTGGTCTTCTAAGACGTTCCCTATCTCTCTCAATGCGAGTACTAGACTCAAGCCAGGATCATGAGAAAAAGTAGAAGTAAGACAGTCAGTTCATGGATAAAGGGACTCACACCATTCACAACCAAGGATTCGTTGTACCGGGGTGCTCTTTCACTTCATTTCACCGTTGGAACCCCTTTTTCTCACTTTCATTTACATTTTTTTCTTTCATTTGGTGGGGTTCCAACTGTAGTCTTTTGCACGGTCGACCCTTATTAGTCGAGCAAGAGCAATTTCTGTACATCTGGAGCTCGCCAGAGTACTTCTTTTAACTCCTTTTCCTCAACTCGTGTGGAGGGTCAATGAAATTAAGGGGGGTCGGAAGCTCTATCCGTGCCCTTAAAAACACATCCTCAAGTAGGCAAGCCGTTCAACGGGTGGAAGTTTTACTTGTACTAGAGACAACTTAGCTTCACCTTGTAGGAGTACCCCACTAAGGATCACTAAAATCTCTTCCAAAACCCGATTTTGTGCAATGAACGGTGCCGCACACGTTGGGCTTACCCCATGTTTAAGATTTAATGATTTTGACATGGAGGACCAACTGCTTCCCATTTTCCATATGAGCACCCTATTCGATACACGAGTCCATAACATAATCCAAACAGAGTCACCATTACCACATGAATTCAACGGTCTTAGCTCCACTAATTCACAAAATCAACTGGCACAACAGAGAGCTAGATAGGAAAAATCTTATACTTCAACATCCTCCATAGTGCTACACTACCTCCCTAGGTTGCACATTACTATAGAGACTGTCAATTCAAAGCATACTGAGCAGGAAATTTGCAAGGAAACACATACTTGGAGCCCTCAAATTTAAAAATTTGGACAGTGGACTAGGCTCCAAGCACACAAACAGCCAAACGTTCACCCGCATACATAATCGAACACCCCCCCACACTCAAGCACGACATTGTCCTCAATGGAGGAAAGATAAGGAGGGTAGAACGAAGTTACCAGATCAAGGGTGAATGATGATGTACGGGTCAGGCAGTGCATTCCAGGAAGAGAGAGTAATCAGAACACAAACACCACACAAAATCTCACAAAGGTTGAGTTATTGACTCTAAAATCAAATAACAAAACTGACTCAACCGAGGAGAAATAGAGAAAGAAATGCAAACCGACTGGTTGGGTTGCCTCCCAAAAAGCGCTTCTTTCACGTCGTGAGCCGGACGATGGCTCCTAAGTTTCGGTCCATGCTAGAACCTCCTTGAAGTTGAGGTTCTCGTCGATGAGGTGGAGTCTCAAGTCACGAGCATGTGGTGTGGCAGGTGATGAAGGCTCATGTACTTGATGCAGATGAAGTCTCCACCCTCGAGACCTCTTCTTCTCTTCTCTTGTCTCCTTGCCCCAAACCAGATATGACAGCATCGACCGACCACCATCGCGTCCACCAAGAGGGACCGATGTCGATGTGGCCTTGGTCTGGCAAAGAGACACTGCAAATGGGTCCTTGCCAAGCAGTTCCTCAAAGTTTGGTGGGGATATTACTTGCAACTCATGGCCGGTGCATGCCTCTTCCACCTCAACTTCATCCTCAGCCTGGACGCCAATTGCTTCCTCAACCCCCCTTCCTTCTTCAAAATGTGGTCTCTCCCCTGGGAAAAGATCAAGAACCACCTCTTCTTTTCTTTCTTCCTCATCATCCACAACTTCCTTCCTCATCCTTGCTCGCTCTTCTTCTTCTAGAACAGATTGGAGAGCAAGTCGCCAAGCAATTTCTTCAATGGGATCATCTTGCATCTCCTTGCACGGGCCCAGCATGTTAGAGCATAAATGAGGAAAGGTGTGGTCTGCAACCAAAGGACTTTCCTGATCATGGTTATCATGTGAGTTCTCTGTGATAACTTCTGTATGCTCCTCAACGCTCCCATAGCCTTTGTCATCCTCCACCTCTTCTAGCGTGGTAGCAGAAAGGTGATCTTGAGCAAGATGTGAGCAAACTTGCTTCACCCACTCTGTTTGCTTCGCTGAGCGCTGAACAGTCTCCTCCATATCATGGAGAAATGAGGGATCGGAAGTGGCAAGGGCTTTGATTTGAAGATCCATCTTGGAGCATGATTTCTCAGTGTCTCGAGCAAACTGCTCCACGAGAAGCCTTAATTGTTCGTTCGGATCCTCCATTGAAGTGTAGCATGGCTCTTCAGAGTGGCCCGTGAAGGCCGCCATGGGTAACTCCAGCTCCGATGGCCCTTCTGGTTGTGGGAGAAAGTCTTCTTGGCAATGAGGTTGTTCTTGATATGCCCAGGGGTCTGATTGTTCTCCATAGTAAGGGGGTTGGTACTGGAACCCGAATCCATAGTCTTCTCCTCCTTGATTGCTGTAGGGAGTCGCGGGGTAATACCACCCGGATGGTGGTGGATACCCCCAATGATTGGAAAAGCCATTAGGATCCATGATTCAGATCTGCACCAACAAAAACAAAAACACCCAAGTGAAAAGCAAAGGTGGAAAAGAAAGAAAAGAAAAACGCTAAAGTAACAAACTTCTGCCTTTCCTAATACTCTAGAAAGTCCCCGGCAACGGTGCCAAAAACTTGATGCTCTAAAACACAACACCTAACAATGGCCAAGTGTAACCAATGAAAGGGACTGCAGTATAGTGGCACAAGTAATAAATATCGAATCCACGGGTCTCTAGAGTTACTATTACTCAGCTTCAGTTCATTATCTAGCAAACTAGATTAAGGATTGATTAACTAAACTACTCTACTAACTAAACTAAGTAAAACTACTAATTACAGTTTGGGAACTCACTTAGGTATGATTCCCCCTAGCTCCTCAATTAGGTCCAAGTTGTAATTCCTTTTGGTTGATTTACTGTTGATTAAACTGCGGAAGATCCGACAGTAGCTTGGAATCTCTTAAGCTGACCAAGCCCTCTCAGTCTAACTATCCGGCAGACGACTAGTCTTCACCGGGATAGAAAGCTGAAGCAATAAGCACAGAACTCCACTACTGGAATTGGATTCCAGTACAAAGCAGTAAACTGGCTAACTCTCGTATAGCCAATCTCCTACTACCGAATGATGAGACTCTAGCAACCTAATCAGATTCTATCTATCTCAGATTGCAGCAGGAATCAGGAAAAGTTGATCAGACTTCAATTGACTCAATAAACATGCATCATTCGATTATAATCAAACAATATAGCATCCAAAACTTCATACAAGAAAGATCCTAACTCATGGAACTAAGGTTCCTCAAAACCTAAGTGAAGGGAAGTTACTCCATAGAGAAGAGAGAGACTGCAGAAATCTGATCTAGATCTTCAATCTCCATCTCCAAGCTTGATTCCCGAGCTCCAATGGCGAAGAAATCCTCCAAAATAGCTCCAAGAATGTTCCCAAGTCGCTCTCTCTCTCTAGGGTTCGTCCCTTGGGTGTTTGGGATCCAAAACCCAGCTCTCCCCCTTTCCTTTTGCTGAAAATCGGGTTTTAAACAGCAATTCCCGACTCACACGGCCAGGCCACACGGCCGTGTGGCTTTCCACGCTGCCCGTGTGAAGGCTCGGTGATTTCCACACGGCCACATGGCCAGGTCACACGGCCGTGTGGGTTGTGCCCGTGTGGCTTGCTCAACCTCTGTTTAATGCTTCGTTTCTCCCTCGTCCGGACTCCGAATCAGTCGCCGTTTGATCCCAGACGCTCGTAGTCTCGTCCTCTTTCTATTAATGACAAGCTTGCATGATTCTTTGTCCATAAAGTGAGTTAGAAATCCATTCTTCTTCAGGTCATACCCGAGTTTCTTCTCCCGAATCGTCAATTGATCTCTGATTGACTTGAAACTTGCGCCTATGCTTCACTTTATGTGCTAGGACCTGAAATGTGACAAAGGAACACAACCTAGCGTAAAATAGGCCAAAGACACGATAATTCAAGCTCAAACAATCAAGAAACAAAGGGGAAAAAATGTGCAAATACCGAGTCATCAAATCCCCCCACACTTAACTGTTTGCTTGTCCCCAAGCAAACCTAACTCAAACCAATGCAGCTCTCCAGAGCTCTATAGCAACATACAACCCCGATCTTTGGTAGAGGATTTCCTAGATCATATAGCAGCTTACGAGGTCAACTGGTCTTCTAAGACGTTCCCTATCTCTCTCAATGCGAGTACTAGACTCAAGCCAGGATCATGAGAAAAAGTAGAAGTAAGACAGTCAGTTCATGGATAAAGGGACTCACACCATTCACAACCAAGGATTCGTTGTACCGGGGTGCTCTTTCACTTCATTTCACCGTTGGAACCCCTTTTTCTCACTTTCATTTACATTTTTTTCTTTCATTTGGTGGGGTTCCAACTGTAGTCTTTTGCACGGTCGACCCTTATTAGTCGAGCAAGAGAAATTTCTGTACATCTGGAGCTCGCCAGAGTACTTCTTTTAACTCCTTTTCCTCAACTCGTGTGGAGGGTCAATGAAATTAAGGGGGGTCGGAAGCTCTATCCGTGCCCTTAAAAACACATCCTCAAGTAGGCAAGCCGTTCAACGGGTGGAAGTTTTACTTGTACTAGAGACAACTTAGCTTCACCTTGTAGGAGTACCCCACTAAGGATCACTAAAATCTCTTCCAAAACCCGATTTTGTGCAATGAACGGTGCCGCACACGTTGGGCTTACCCCATGTTTAAGATTTAATGATTTTGACATGGAGGACCAACTGCTTCCCATTTTCCATATGAGCACCCTATTCGATACACGAGTCCATAACATAATCCAAACAGAGTCACCATTACCACATGAATTCAACGGTCTTAGCTCCACTAATTCACAAAATCAACTGGCACAACAGAGAGCTAGATAGGAAAAATCTTATACTTCAACATCCTCCATAGTGCTACACTACCTCCCTAGGTTGCACATTACTATAGAGACTGTCAATTCAAAGCATACTGAGCAGGCAATTTGCAAGGAAACACATACTTGGAGCCCTCAAATTTAAAAATTTGGACAGTGGACTAGGCTCCAAGCACACAAACAGCCAAACGTTCACCCGCATACATAATCGAACACCCCCCCACACTCAAGCACGACATTGTCCTCAATGGAGGAAAGATAAGGAGGGTAGAACGAAGTTACCAGATCAAGGGTGAATGATGATGTACGGGTCAGGCAGTGCATTCCAGGAAGAGAGAGTAATCAGAACACAAACACCACACAAAATCTCACAAAGGTTGAGTTATTGACTCTAAAATCAAATAACAAAACTGACTCAACCGAGGAGAAATAGAGAAAGAAATGCAAACCGACTGGTTGGGTTGCCTCCCAAAAAGCGCTTCTTTCACGTCGTGAGCCGGACGATGGCTCCTAAGTTTCGGTCCATGCTAGAACCTCCTTGAAGTTGAGGTTCTCGTCGATGAGGTGGAGTCTCAAGTCACGAGCATGTGGTGTGGCAGGTGATGAAGGCTCATGTACTTGATGCAGATGAAGTCTCCACCCTCGAGACCTCTTCTTCTCTTCTCTTGTCTCCTTGCCCCAAACCAGATATGACAGCATCGACCGACCACCATCGCGTCCACCAAGAGGGACCGATGTCGATGTGGCCTTGGTCTGGCAAAGAGACACTGCAAATGGGTCCTTGCCAAGCAGTTCCTCAAAGTTTGGTGGGGATATTACTTGCAACTCATGGCCGGTGCATGCCTCTTCCACCTCAACTTCATCCTCAGCCTGGACGCCAATTGCTTCCTCAACCCCCCTTCCTTCTTCAAAATGTGGTCTCTCCCCTGGGAAAAGATCAAGAACCACCTCTTCTTTTCTTTCTTCCTCATCATCCACAACTTCCTTCCTCATCCTTGCTCGCTCTTCTTCTTCTAGAACAGATTGGAGAGCAAGTCGCCAAGCAATTTCTTCAATGGGATCATCTTGCATCTCCTTGCACGGGCCCAGCATGTTAGAGCATAAATGAGGAAAGGTGTGGTCTGCAACCAAAGGACTTTCCTGATCATGGTTATCATGTGAGTTCTCTGTGATAACTTCTGTATGCTCCTCAACGCTCCCATAGCCTTTGTCATCCTCCACCTCTTCTAGCGTGGTAGCAGAAAGGTGATCTTGAGCAAGATGTGAGCAAACTTGCTTCACCCACTCTGTTTGCTTCGCTGAGCGCTGAACAGTCTCCTCCATATCATGGAGAAATGAGGGATCGGAAGTGGCAAGGGCTTTGATTTGAAGATCCATCTTGGAGCATGATTTCTCAGTGTCTCGAGCAAACTGCTCCACGAGAAGCCTTAATTGTTCGTTCGGATCCTCCATTGAAGTGTAGCATGGCTCTTCAGAGTGGCCCGTGAAGGCCGCCATGGGTAACTCCAGCTCCGATGGCCCTTCTGGTTGTGGGAGAAAGTCTTCTTGGCAATGAGGTTGTTCTTGATATGCCCAGGGGTCTGATTGTTCTCCATAGTAAGGGGGTTGGTACTGGAACCCGAATCCATAGTCTTCTCCTCCTTGATTGCTGTAGGGAGTCGCGGGGTAATACCACCCGGATGGTGGTGGATACCCCCAATGATTGGAAAAGCCATTAGGATCCATGATTCAGATCTGCACCAACAAAAACAAAAACACCCAAGTGAAAAGCAAAGGTGGAAAAGAAAGAAAAGAAAAACGCTAAAGTAACAAACTTCTGCCTTTCCTAATACTCTAGAAAGTCCCCGGCAACGGTGCCAAAAACTTGATGCTCTAAAACACAACACCTAACAATGGCCAAGTGTAACCAATGAAAGGGACTGCAGTATAGTGGCACAAGTAATAAATATCGAATCCACGGGTCTCTAGAGTTACTATTACTCAGCTTCAGTTCATTATCTAGCAAACTAGATTAAGGATTGATTAACTAAACTACTCTACTAACTAAACTAAGTAAAACTACTAATTACAGTTTGGGAACTCACTTAGGTATGATTCCCCCTAGCTCCTCAATTAGGTCCAAGTTGTAATTCCTTTTGGTTGATTTACTGTTGATTAAACTGCGGAAGATCCGACAGTAGCTTGGAATCTCTTAAGCTGACCAAGCCCTCTCAGTCTAACTATCCGGCAGACGACTAGTCTTCACCGGGATAGAAAGCTGAAGCAATAAGCACAGAACTCCACTATTGGAATTGGATTCCAGTACAAAGCAGTAAACTGGCTAACTCTCGTATAGCCAATCTCCTACTACCGAATGATGAGACTCTAGCAACCTAATCAGATTCTATCTATCTCAGATTGCAGCAGGAATCAGGAAAAGTTGATCAGACTTCAATTGACTCAATAAAGATGCATCATTCGATTATAATCAAACAATATAGCATCCAAAACTTCATACAAGAAAGATCCTAACTCATGGAACTAAGGTTCCTCAAAACCTAAGTGAAGGGAAGTTACTCCATAGAGAAGAGAGAGACTGCAGAAATCTGATCTAGATCTTCAATCTCCATCTCCAAGCTTGATTCCCGAGCTCCAATGGCGAAGAAATCCTCCAAAATAGCTCCAAGAATGTTCCCAAGTCGCTCTCTCTCTCTAGGGTTCGTCCCTTGGGTGTTTGGGATCCAAAACCCAGCTCTCCCCCTTTCCTTTTGCTGAAAATCGGGTTTTAAACAGCAATTCCCGACTCACACGGCCAGGCCACACGGCCGTGTGGCTTTCCACGCTGCCCGTGTGAAGGCTCGGTGATTTCCACACGGCCACATGGCCAGGTCACACGGCCGTGTGGGTTGTGCCCGTGTGGCTTGCTCAACCTCTGTTTAATGCTTCGTTTCTCCCTCGTCCGGACTCCGAATCAGTCGCCGTTTGATCCCAGACGCTCGTAGTCTCGTCCTCTTTCTATTCATGACAAGCTTGCATGATTCTTTGTCCATAAAGTGAGGTAGAAATCCATTCTTCTTCAGGTCATACCCGAGTTTCTTCTCCCGAATCGTCAATTGATCTCTGATTGACTTGAAACTTGCGCCTATGCTTCACTTTATGTGCTAGGACCTGAAATGTGACAAAGGAACACAACCTAGCGTAAAATAGGCCAAAGACACGATAATTCAAGCTCAAACAATCAAGAAACAAAGGGGAAAACATGTGCAAATACCGAGTCATCAACAACCCATCACGAAGCTGCCCCTTCCCAATCGTCTTCCTGGAGTGTAAGTCCTGGATGACGCAAAAGTCGCCAAAAACGTTAAAGCCACATCAAAATCATGGGTGAGTCTGCTGACTGACAAAAGGTTGCACTTAAACGATGGAAGACTGAGCACCCGGCCCGACTAAGCTTCATCCCATTTGACATACTGATATCCCCAACACGTTTGACTGTAACGCTATCCCCATTCGGAATACTAATAGGTAAATGGCCCGATACCTCAGCAGAATTGTCTAGCTAGGACTCATTATTCGTAATATAGTAATATACTCATTGCATCCTGAATCAATGATCCATTCAGACTGTGAAAGAAAATTACCTGCCATGTTTACTTGAGGATCGAATGATGATGACAAGTTGGGTTGACCCCCATTGTGATTAAGAAATTCTAGTAGCTGCTAGACTTGTTCGAAATTTAGCCAGGAATGCTGACACCAGCTCCACTTGAGGTTTGCGCTGCACGAGGGTTATGAGGTCTCCCAGCACGCTCCCTCTCACGCTCTCCTGGACGAGATTCGAGATCACGATCAGCTTGATGAGGCTTCCGCTCCGGCCAGCCTATAATTTCATAACAGTTTTCTTTCGTATGCCTAGGGCGCTGACAGTGGCTGCATCGCACGCGCTCTTTGCGATCATCGCTACGAGGTCTCTCCTCGCGTCTACAAGCATCCGAAGCACCACGATCTTGGCGAACTTGGAAGGCAGCGGCGTCAACAGTTGGATGACGATTTGCTGCAATCTGCCTATGCTGCTCTTCCGTGGAAACCAGACGATATGCCTCTCCAAGACTCGGAGTGGGCTTCATTGAAAAAATCTGAGTTTTCACTGTCCCAAAAGTATCACCTAAGCCCATAAGAAAATCAAACAGCCTGTCGTTTTCCATATTTCTCATTACCTTCTTGTCGATTTCACAAGAGCACTAACCACAGGTGCAACGCGGAATGGGGGTAATTGTCAGCATCTCTTCCCAAATTGCTCTCAACTTGGTGAAGAAGGTAGATACCATGAGCTTCTCTTGCCGCAGAGTGCTCATCATCATGAGAAGTTCATACGCTCTAGGCGCCGAACCATGACCAAAACGTGCCTCAAGATCAGTCCACCTCTCGCGGGCTGTCTTGGCGTAACGAATGGAGCTACGTACCTCCTTGTCCATGGCTTTCTTTAGCCATCCTTTGACGAGAGCATCACACTGAAGCCACGCTTCCTGTAGCTCGCCCGGAGTCGATGGCTTGACAACACTTCCATCAACGATATCAAGTTTTTTTTTTGGAAATCATGGCCTCGGTCATATCCGTGACCCACTCTCCATAGTTGGAGTCATTCAACAGTTCACCAACGAACAGCTGATCTGGGTTGTCTGATACTTGAATCTTCAACGCGGTGGGGACGACTACGGGAGGTATTATGACATTGCCTCCATTGCCGCCGATGGTATCACCATCAGAACCCTTACCACTCATGACGATAACTTAGGGCTTAGGAAGCCAGCTCTGATACCATAAAATATTTGTAAACACGAACACACAATCGCACAACACAGAGTTTACGTGGTTCTTCTCATTCGGTGTGAATTAGCTTACTCCACGGAAAAGTTATGTTATCTCAACTTTCATTCATGGTTTGCAGCCGATATACTTACAAGAGATATATATGTAACCCTAATCAACACTAATTCTCCTAGGGTTACACTAAACCCGTCGGCCTAGAGAGGAAAAGACAATAAACCCCTGTAGCCTTACACGACTGAGTACCATGCATGAATAATAATCATTACAATATACGACTGGATGTGTGCTCAAACAAAACATAGTAAATCATCAATTGCTTAGGTGAATGGACTCAAGAACCACAATTAGTTGACAAAAAATACATAAAATCCAACTCACTTCATATTCAAATTCTGAAAAAAATCAACTAAGACAAAGTGAAAAAACCATCCTCATTTCCTCACACACGCATTCAATTTGGGTCGAAAACTCCATGAAAACAAACAAACGTACTATAGAATCGGACACCAATCGCATTCCAAACTCGCCGCCGGCAACACTCGCCGGCCGGTCAGGCATGATGAGCCAGGGCCACCGAGAGATCAACAAAAATTCCAAAGAGCAAGATACAAAGCCCGGTAAAGTTGATGAGCCGGGCCTCGGCGTGTCCACGGAGGTTGAGAAGCGTTTCTCGCTGCATGAGCCCCGTGAGCGCCGCCGCAACGGCCATGTACAGAAGCGCCCTGCCGAAACTGATGTGCCACGGCATCATTCTGGACCTCGTCTCCAGGCTGGCCTTGGGGAACATGTAGGTGAACAAGCCCAACAGCCATTGGAGGCCCAACATGATGAAGGTGGTGAGCCCGATCCATGAGTGGAGGCTGAACATGTCTTCAGCGCCTATCATGTCGTGGAATCTGAACACGGCGGCTATTCCGACGATGCCGAGAGCTATGCCGACTAAGTGTAACATCATGTGTACTACCTTTTGTGCTTGTTTGGCTGCCGGCACGGTTTTGTATGCCATCATTGCTGCATAGGGAGAAGAATTTGTAAGAAATTGTGACGTTTCATCCAAGTCAAACTAGTTTGACCCAAATTCATAGGTTTTGGGAATGAGAGTGCAACGATTTAGATTATACCGAATTAAATTAGATCCTTGTGATCTTTGGACCGATTCAATTCGATTTTAACTCCATGAATCTTGTTAATTATTAATGAAAGAGCGGACCAGATTGTTTCGAACTTTTTCAATCTAGTTTTGGTTATCGATGATTTATTTTCAACTCTGTGCTATTTTTATTTGGTCTGGTTGGGACTGGACTATATCAAACTCTTGTCCCTAATTAGCGGGCGTCATTTAGTATCTAAACATTTTGTCAATTTTAGTAGCAATTATGAGATATTATAATTGTCAACCAGACTAGAGTACTATAATTGTTTTAGGGTGGTGGTGACGATTGAGTTCAGTTAAGGAGTTACCTTGGCCAACGAGAAAGATGAAGCCGCAGAACATGAGGAACGGATGAACCTGCAGCATGCAAGAACGTTACACCAGTAAGTTAGAGCGAGCAACAGGGGAAGTTTAACACAGAACACAGCAGAACAGTGATGTGAGCACCAAATAGAGAGGGTAATTTGGTTATAGGTAAAGTTCGTACATTGAAGACGCGGGCCGGGTTGTTGGAGTCGTACTCAATGCCGCCGCGGTAGTGCAGCAGCCATATCAGCATCAGAACAATCGCCAACACCCCGAAAAAGTGAGCTCCGATCGTCAGCCTCGACGCCGATCGCCTGTAAACCACCACCCCGTCCATTTCCTCGAATTGATGATTAGAGTGAAGAATGGAGATGGAGGTGCAGATGGAGAAGGGGGGGAGTGCTAGCTGGGAGAGGGAGGAGCTATATGGAGAGAATGTAATGTGTCAGGGTGGTTGTTGTAAAGGGAGGGGATCAAAATGAATGGCAGGAATCTGTCTAATGCATAATTAAAGCAAAAGGGTTAGGGATTGCTTGCGGCTTTTGGTTTAGCATCTGTTTTTCTTCTTTTGTCCCAATTTTGACTCCTCATCAAAGCTTAACTCTGGGAACATTTAATGTGTATCTTAATCAGTCGATGATTCTTAAAATGCTTTAGCAATAATTGGTTAGGTAGGCAGCAACTTAGAGCGCATCTGTGAACGCATTCACTCTAGTCCAGAAAGGTAAAGGTTAGTGTGTAGATCAATACGCGCTGACATTATTGAATCTCATCGACTTTATGTTGGTCATACATAACATATAAACTAGGTTCCTTAAGAAATTGTCACCATACCATTTGAAAATGCGTACCAAACAATGTAATGTCAGTGTGAGTTGAATTGTCATTTTAGTGGATTTATGTATTCTCATTCAATAATAAATCTAAAAGGATTTGTGTTTTCTTTCCAAGAAATTCAGTTGGTTACCATCCATTTCAATCGATTTTATAATTCTATTCAATAATGACTCTAAATTGATTACTATTTTAGTTTCTCGATGTAGATCAATACAGGTTGATACTCAGGTTTATAATTCTTGATGTCATGTTCGTCACGCACTCATGCATCACATATAAATCATGTTAATTACTTATGAAATTTTCACCATTTCAAATCCTATCAAACAATGTAACCATGTTGGTGTAAGTAAGGTGAGTTGTCCCTTTTAGCAAATTTAGTAATTCTCGTTAAATAGTAAATCTAAATGGGTTTGTGTTCTGTTTTGTTGTTGTCCAAAAATGGATTATCAAACTATTACAAGACGGCTCCACTTTACCCAAGCCATTAGCACTTCTCTGTCATTTTCTAGCCAAAGATGAGTTGATGAAAGAAGCTCAGCATGTACGTACTCTGGTCCCGTACCCCTTTCACAGAACTTGTTTTGGGATTTCTGTCCAAGGGACGAGCCCAGCCTCGGCCGACATTTTTTTCCGTGGTTTGGATGAATCAATTGAAAATGAGATAATATGATTAATTGTCTAATTTTACAAAATGAGTCATTTAATATTAGTCCATTCGAATTGTCTAATTTCATTCTAGACTATTGTAATTACCTCAAAACGAGTCAATTTGAAATTTCCTAAGCAGAATTGTTCCATCTAAATTTGTGCTACCAAACGGATCAATTTGGCCAGATTGTCAAAACGAACAATTGAGTGAAATTGATCCTTTAAAATTGCTCATCAACAACCCATATAGTTATTTTATTGATGGAGAGAAAAGTGTGAGATTCTAATCTTTTCCTCACCAACATATTGTTCGTTTTCTTTTTTAACATATTTTCGTGTAGTTTTGTTTTTGGTGTGTATCATAGTAAAGTCACTGGAGGGGACCTAGCATTATACTAATGTATAATGGACACGTTCAACTTTATAATTGTTAAAAAAGTTTCTTCATGTCATCCAAAGGCACGTTTTATCGATTAATGTTGGATTATTCCTATAAATCATAGATCTCTCTCGTAGTTTGTCGATGTAAAATTTGTCTAATGTGTTACAATAAGTGTAACATCACAACCTTTATTCATAAAAAAGGGCTAATACCACTAGAAAACCCAAACTATTAAGAATGTTTCATTTGTGTCCTAAAGTATCCAATATGACATTTGTGTCCTAAATTATTTGTCTGTTAGATTTGACCGGCGTTGACCATTACTTTTCCTTCTTTCTCGCGACTTGTCACCCAAACACCACCCACCAGGCCACCACCATCATTTCCTTCCTCGATGTCCCTAGCCGCTGCCGCTCCCTTCTTCCTCCGTCGCCACAACACCAATTTCAATTTGAATTCTCATCATCATCACGACGACAACGACGACGATGGTGAGCTGCCTGAGCAGCGACGGAGGGATCTCCGGCGACTTCGTCTCCACGCAGAAGTCTAACGTGGACCAGGAATTCTCTGTAATCGCCAATATGATGGGACTCTTCCTTTCCGACGATTTCTCCGTTACGATTCGATTCGCCAAGCCTCTCAATAGCCTCCTAATTTCTGTCATCATTACCGGGTAAGGTTCCCCCCCTCCCCCGTTCCACTTGGGTCAAAGGGTCGGATTAGGCAGAGGGTTGCTTGTTGAGGAGGGATTCCGCTGGCTCCCTGCTGCGGCAGAGGATTGAGGTCAAAGATTGGAGAGGAGCCCGAGAGAGAATCGAGGGGAGATTTGCGGCAGTGGAGGAGCGAAGCAGATGATTTAAGATTGGAGGTTCTGAAGATTGGATTCCACGGGGAGGTGGTTCCACTTCCATCGGCAGCATATTTGATTTTTTGGGAGAGTGAGAGACCAATTGGATGGAGAAGATGAGTGAGAGTTTTTTTTACTATAGTTTTTATTTAATTTTGAATTATAAATATTAGGTGTCAATGGCGTGGCTATTGAAAAATAAAGTTTAATAAAAAAAATGTAACATCACAACTAGTTAGAGTTGTGAAGTGTGTGGAGTTATCTAGAGTGTGTATTAATGTGGGTAGTTATGGATTAAGAAAAGAAGAAAAAAAGAAGAACCACAAATGTGTAGATATTTGTGGGTTAAGTAGGTGTAAAGTGGTAGTTAGGTGTGGCAAAGTATAAGCCACAAGTTAGTGTTGGAACTTGGCTATAAATAGCCATGGTTTGTGTATGGTTTTATTCATCCCAAGCAAAGCAAAGCAAATAAGAAAGAAAGTAGAGAGTGTTTGAGCAATTGTGAGTTGTGGGAAGGTGATGAAATAAGAGAGTCAGTGAGCATTTCGATCCATTTTTTCCAACATTTGGTATCAGAGCCAAGGTTATTCCTCGTATGCTCTGTGGTTGCGGTTTAGGCCGATCTTCCACATCAGAAAAGGTTTCCTTGTGCTTTGTTATCAGTATCAAGGTTATTCCTCGTATGCTCTGTGGTTGCGGCTTCGACCGATCTTCCACATCAGAAAAGGGATTCCTTGTGCTGAGTTATCAGAACTGGTTCAACCGAAAGCCAGTAGTGACGAGATCCTCATCAGGCGGTCAGAGGCTGCAGTTATTTCAGGAAGACTGAAATAGAGAACTTGGAGAAGTTACCAAGTAAGAAGATGGAGAGTTTCTCAGTTACCGCTATGGAGAAGTTGAATGAGACCAACTACTCAAGTTGGAGCACCCGTATGGAGTTTTATCTTAGAGGCCAAAAGCTCTGGGAAATTATCACCATCCCACCACCCAAAGATGAGAAGTTGTTGGAGGACTGGAAGCAAAAAGCAGACAATATCATGTACATCCTTGCAGTCACAACAGAAGACCAATTCCTGCCTCGCATCAAGGAAAGCAAATCCCCAAAGGAAGCTTGGGATACTCTCTCCACAATCTTCACCAGGACCAATGAGGCGAGACTCCAGAGACTGGAGAATGAATTGATGGCACTATCCCAAAAAACATTGACCATTGGTCAATATTTCAACAAAGTAAAAAATGTTTGTGCCGAAATTTCAAAACTGGATCCGGAAAATCCAATTTCGGAAGCTCGGAAAAGAAGAATCATCATTCGTGGCTTGAGACCGGAGTTCAAGGGCATAGTGACAGCAACAAGAGGGTGGTCAAAGGAGCCAACCCTGGCTGAGTTGGAGAATCTTCTAGCAAATGAAGAAATTCTCGATGACAAGATGTCAAAGGCGTCAATCAAGGAAAAGGAAAAGGCCTTGCTCAGCAAAAGTAAAGACTCTAATGGTGGAGAGAAGGCTCTTGCATCAACAAGTGGCCAAAAGGGGTTCAAAAAGAACCAAAAGTGGAACAAGAAAGGGGGAAACTATCGAGGGGGAGCCCAGAAAAATTACAACCACCGTTACAAGGGTGGTGACGGAAAGGACAAGAAGGAGCATGATCGAGAAAATGGCAATTGCTACATTTGCCACAAGAAGGGTCATCTAGCTAGAGATTGCTGGCACAAAAAGGAAGAAGGAAACGCTGCAACTTCTTCCAAGGTGAATGATGATGAATGGGACTTTCAAGCATCCTTTGCAACAGAAGCTCCAAAAGGCGCCACTAAAGAGTCAGCGCTCATGCCAGTGGACAAGAATGTCATTGAAGCCCAATGTCGCCCATTTCCGAGTATTTGGCTATGTGTGCTATGTGTTCGTACCAGACCATGCTTGAAGCAAGTTTGACAACAAGGCGGTCCGATGCATTTTTGTGGGCTATGACAATCAAAGGAAAGGATGGAGATGTTGCGACCCAACAACAGGAAACTGTTATGTGTCACGCAATGTAGTGTTTGATGAAGCATCATCCTGGTGGTCCCCACAAGCAGTCCTACTTCCAGACACAAAGGAGATGGAGGAGAGGTTGCTAGAGAGGTCTAGTGAAGAAGAGGTGAAAACAGCAGAAGCTGAACAAGGAGAAAGTTCCGCGGGAGCTCAAACTCGCTCTCCTGAAAAAGGCAAGAGTCCTTGGAATACTGGAGTTCACCAGCCAGTCACAGAAGAAGAACGACCTAGTCAATTGGATCATATTGTTGATCCTCAACAAAAGCTCAGAAGATCGAAGAGGGCTAGAAAGTCAAATCCCAAATGTGCCAATGTAGCCATGATAGAATATATTGGCGTAAGAGAACCAACATCTTACGAAGAAGCGGCAAAACATGGTGAATGGAGAAACGCTATGAAAGAAGAGATTCAAGCTCTCGAGCAGAATCAAACATGGGAACTCGTACCAAAGCCTAAAGATGTTAAGCCCATATCCTACAAATGGGTTTACAAAGTGAAGACAAAGTCAGATGGATCAATTGAGCGTTTCAAGGCTCGATTGGTGGCTCGTGGATTTTCTCAACAATATGGGTTGGATTATGACGAGACGTTTAGTCCAGTTGCTAAGATCACAACTATTCGTGTTCTCTTAGCACTTGCAGCCAGTAAGTCTTGGAGAATGTGGCAGCTAGATGTGAAGAATGCTTTCTTACATGGAGAGCTTGGTCGAGAGATCTACATGGAGCAACCTAGAGGGTTTGAGAGCATAAACACAGACTATGTCTGTAAGCTCAAGAAAGCCCTATATGGTCTGAAGCAGGCACCTAGAGCTTGGTACGGTAAGATTGGAGAATTTCTACTCCAATGCGGATACTCTGTCACTCCGTCAGATTCAAGTTTGTTTGTCAAGGAGCAATATGGAAAATTAGCAATTATGCTAGTTTATGTTGATGACTTGATCGTGACTTGAGATGATGAAGAAGAAATCAACCGAACTCGAACGAATCTATCTGTAAGGTTCCAAATGAAGGAACTTGGAGAGCTGAAGCACTTTCTTGGACTTGAAGTCGAGAAAAGAGAAGATGGCTTATTTCTTAGTCAGCGGAGATATGCCATAGTGTTGCTAGAGAGGTTCGGGCTACAAGAGTGCAAGCCTACGACAACACCTATGGAGGCTAACGTTAAACTCAACTCACAAGAGGGAAAATATTTAGAAGACGTGACGATGTATAGACAACTTGTGGGTAGTTTAATCTACCTAACTCTGACACGTCCCGACATTTCTTATGCAGTTGGAGTCGTTAGCCGTTTCATGCAGA